GGGACACAGAGCCAAGCACCACGAGCAGCAGCACGAAGCAGGATACGACCATGTCACTGCGTAGCCTGTTGATGAGACCAGGGCCCACGTTTGCCTGCAAGTTTTGGCCCCTGCATCCACCTTCTTTGTTAAAAAAAAAAATGAGTGCAAATGGAATTGAGAGGGAAATTATTGCAGTCTACTAAGGAGCAAGATGCTGTCTGAGCACAAGGGCACAAGATCACAAACAGGCCTGCCTCCAGTTTCCAAAACGGGACTCTAATATTCAGTCTGCAACTCGTGGCACTGTGTTATTTTGTATTATAATAATGATTTTTATCTGCATGGACAGAGAGCCCAGAGGGGATCCTTTTTGCAGGTTTGATTTTCCAGGCCTTTGTCTGTTTTGCAGTCACCCCTTGCTCTGGCCATGCAAAAGGGCCCCGAAGGACGTGTGTTTAAGGATGCCCACCCTGCTAGGGAAGCAGAAGGGAGCATGAGGGCAACAGAGGCAGCTTCCATCTTCCTGATGCTCCTGACCCGACACGTGTTAGACCCACTTTGTGCTGGTATAAAGCTGCTTCTGGGCTATGATGGAAAACAGCCTGAAAAACCTGTCCAGCAGCACTTCCAATTGCCTAAATAGAAAAGATAGTGATGGGCAAGCTCCATTTCCCCCACAGATGACTTAGCAGTGGTGAGAGACTAGCTCAGGATGACAGCGGGTAGATGGATGGATGGATGCATGGATGGATGGATGGATGCACAAGGGATACCTGTGTGCGTGCAGCCCTGCAGAGCCTGACCCGAGCAGCGTGCCGGCACCAGCACCAGCACCCGGGCCTTATCTGGGGCTCCCATCTGGGCCTGCAGCGAGGGCGGTGAGGAGCTATCGGGCAGGAGGGTGTAGGCGGCCGGGAGCTGCCGGTCGGTGATAGAGGGCAACTCAGCAGAGGGGCTGACCCCAACCCCAAGTGCTTTCGCTCTTGCCCTCCTCATCCAGCCCTTGTAGGGCTGGGGACCCCTGCACCCAAGTGGGTCTGCTCTGCAGGGTGAGTGCCCCAACTAGGCTAGGGGGGAAAGCAAGAGACCCACAAGGCTATAGGCAGGGAAAAAACGTCTTACATATGCCTGTCTGGGAAATGCCTGATCATGAATTTTAAGAAATAGCTGCTTCTGCCTATTTCTGTAGGTTTTTTTTGCTGAAGATGTTCAGGGATAGCTCGGAAGCAGCCAATTCACAAGAGTTTCCTGTTGCCAGTGTCTGGCCTTGTGCCTCATCCCACCACCGCACTTAGCTCCAGACCCCCACAGCCCTTAAGGGGATTCAGGACCGAATATGGCCTGGTAGACGCTTTTATTGGAACACCAAAGTAGGAATGTGGGAATAGGGACTGGACTCCCCCTCCCAGACTCCCTCCATGCAGCTCTGCTGGAAGAAGCCCCCAAACTGTACCAAAAGGTACAAGGGGTTAAACAGGGAGACTTGAAAATAGAGATCCAAATTAGGGGACGAGTGACTGTCTCTGACTCCTGAACTGATATCACTGGACACCTTACAGGAATAAAAGGGGGACATCTGGGATCTGTGTTTTTCTCTCCTTTCATCCACTCCTGCTGCCAGTAGTTTATTATTTCTGTGATGAAAAGCATTTTATGTTCCTGACCTCTGCAACTGGGGAAAAAAAGAGAAAAAAAAAGCTATTAAGATATATAAAATCACAGTAGGATATTGGCATTGCTTCAGGAGACAGAGCCTGGGCATAGCTCTGCTTTCCCATAGCAAGGGCCAGGGGACAGGTTTGCTGTGGGGGCCCAGGCTCACTTGCACAGTACATTTTGTAACAGAAAGCCCTTTTCTGCCCCTTTTTGGCCATGTGCAAAACCTAGGTCTGCATTCTGCTATGGCCAGAGGCTGGACTGGGTGCAGGACAGTGTTTGTTTAACCTGCAGTTACATTTTCCCCTAGTTTATGCTCATGATGCAGCAGCATTTTGCAATGTGTTTGTGCTGAGAGCAGAGTGCTGGGGGCAATGATCCAGAGCTAAATTAGATAATTCTCCTTGCGGTAATAACACAAAGCTCTCTGCCTACACGCCGTAACGTTGATCTGCTTCGAGCCCTCGCCGTGCTGTTCCATAACTCTGCTATTTGTGGCCTTTGCTCCTCACCCTCTCCATACCCTCCCATGGGAGGAAACGGCACCTGCAGAAATTTCCCTTGGCTTTCATGTTGAAAGTAAACAGAAGCCCCAGGGAGTGAAAAATGGGGCAAATTGTGGTCATTCATCTCAGCCTGTATCTGCTCTGCATTTTCCTAAATTGGCCACTGATCTGGTCCCTGGTGGGTCTGGGGCAGGAGCTGTGCTGGATTCCTTAGGGACAGCAGCTCATGGCCTGACTCTGTGCCCCAAGAGACATTTCTGAAGACCTCTCTGCACAGTGACTATAGCTAAGTGTTGTGGCAGGGGTAAATTAGCTCTGGCATTCAAGTCCAAACAAAGCACCAGTACGAAACTGGACACAGGGCAGAATTGGGCTCATGTGTGACTTCACTGCACAGAAAGGTCATTGCCACGATAGGCTCTCCTCGTGCAGGGCCATGCAGACTCCAAGTCGCCTCTGCGCTGCTTAGCTGGCTGATTCACCTGGCATTTTCTCTTTCCTGTGAGTGTCTCTCCTCCAGGATTTAAAGTTTAAAGAATTGTCGTGTCTGTAGCACCAGCCATTAGCATGAATCAATGCCTGATCAATGAGCTCACCTCACCGAAATAGCTGGGGTGACTTCAGCCTTGCTTTCTCCCTTCCCTTCCCTGGGCACTCCGAGACCATCACTCAACCCATCCTGCCAAGAAGCAGCTCTGCTCCTGCAGCTTCTCAGTGAAAACGGGGCCTGAAAGGCCCCGCGTACAGGGTCAGGTCCTCGGGGGGGTTTGGATCCCTGCCAGCTTTTCTGCAAAGCCTAGAAAATCAGCTTTTATTAACTGCAGGTTCCTGTTAATATCAGTATTAGAGCTAATGCTCCAGCCCTGCTCTCTCCAACTTTGCATTCCTCTGTGCTTCCCGCCAGTCCTGCGCTTTTTCACACTGCATCTTCAAATGCAGGCAAAAAACATCATTATTATTTCTCTTGTAAAGTGCAGCTTTGCAGAGCCCTGTCACAATGGCATTCTTCATAATAAACTCAAATGAAGCTTGAGTCTCAATTTCATGGCAGATCTGCCAGCAAATTCAGGAGCAGAGAAGAAATAAATGAAAAAATAAAACATATTAGGCCACTTATTGGTTTCCCCCAGCTGGGCAAACATCTGCTCGTGCCAGCTCTGTGCTCAGAGGTTCAACTGGCTGACTCACATGATGGCAATATCAATGGATTTAGGGTCACACGTGTTTAGTTTTAGTCTCTGAGTCTGCTTTTATTAAATAATTAGCACTTCTGAGGTGCTCGGGTCTCCTTGTGAGTTGAGGCTGTGACTCTGTGTCTGTCTTTAGCTGCCTGCATGATACATTTATCTCTGCAGAGCAGCCTCCTCTCCACGCTGCGTTATCAGGCCGCCTCGATGAGGGAAAGGCCACTTTTCTGCTGAAAGGGGCCTGTGGGCCTTGCCTAGGATTCAGACATTTAAAAATAAAATGAAATAATTTCTGCCTAGGTCCTTGCAGCAAGGAGCTGAAAGGTGACTCTGCTAAAGAGCCACCCCAGCAGGATCTCACATTTTTGTGAGGCAGGACCATGATTCTGCCAAATGTGGATCCATGGACATTGATGGACCAGTACTGTTTTTTTTCCCATAGAGTGGGTCAGTGATCTGGATGAAAACTTCTAAACTGGGCAAATCTGAACGTCAAGGTCTTGTCTGGATGCCAAGTCCCTTGTGCATCCATGTGTTGCATTTCTGTATTACGGTGGGAGCAGCACTGCACCTGAAGGTAGTGTGTACTTCAGGGCAGCTCAATGGGAAAGTGAGTCTCAGAGTCAAAGATGAGACCTTCAGCCAGACCCTGATCTGATGGGCATGGATGTCACTGGTCTGACTGTAACATGGCTGATCCTGTTATTCTCATGCAAAGCCTTTAATTTCCCAGAATAGAGAAGGTGTTAAATTGCCTGCCTTGTTCATACTGTTTTAATATTAAAAAAGGCAGGGAAGGCTGCCCCAAAGAGAGGGGCATCCCATCCATGGCTCATCTTGGCACCAACATCCTGCAGAGCTCCTCCCTGAGATGCCGGTGCACAGGGGAGTTCTGCCCAGGCTTCTGGGCTGGAAAGGTGCAGCCTCCTGCTTTGCTAATGCAGAGAAAAGCCAAACATCCTTGGTTCTGTAGCACCCAGACCAGGTGTTGGTGGATTGGATCGATGGGCTGATGTTCTCCACACTTCTGCTTAGACAAAAACATAGGCTTGAGTGTGGCTCTGTGTGCCCAGAACTGCAGAGCTCCTGCCCAGGGCAATAGCACTCAGAAGCCCTGGTAATGAGCTCCTATCCAGAGAGGCCTGTGAAGGCCGTGCACTTCATCAAGGTCATGAAGCTCACGAACCATGTCATCTGCCCCCTAAGAGATACCTCCTTGGAGGTGAGAGAACCTGTGCATCTTGCAGAGGACTCAAAGGCTTGGGAGTTCCATGCACGAAGCCATGGTAGAACACCTCACACCACGGTCAGTGCCTTCTGCAAGCATCAGAGCATGGACCGGCATGTGGACGCATGTAGGATGAGCACTTGTGCATGGAGGGAAGGAGAGGAAGATAACAGGGTATTGAGTCCTGAGAAAGCCTGTTAAGCTTTCTGCTGGACTGTTTCCCTGAAGACCACACCTCGGAGCAGACTGACCACCCGGCCCCCTGCAATGGCCCCGCGTTGCGGCGTGGGGAGGAGCGGCCGGCAGCAGATAAAAGGCACCGGGGGTCCACGGTGCAGACACACGGTCCGGTCCTTCTGCCACCGCACGCAAGTCCTGCCGCCACCATGCTGCACTGGAGTGCCGAAGCAGGTGCTATTGGGGAGCGTTAATGATGTCTGAATGTTTCTTTTGTCCCACAGGCTGCTCATCGTCTACCCCTGGACCCAGAGGTTCTTTGATTCCTTCGGTAACCTCTCCAGCCCCACTGCCATCGTCGGCAATCCCAAGGTCCGTGCCCATGGCAAGAAGGTGCTCACCTCCTTCGGGGAGGCCGTGAAGAACCTCGAAAATCTCAAGGCCACCTACTCCAAGCTGTCAGAGCTGCACTGCGAGAAGCTGCACGTGGACCCCGAGAACTTCAGGGTGAGCAATACTCAGAGCTTGTCTTTTCTCTCCTCCCTCCTTCCTTCTGCCTCCTGGAGAAGCTCAGTGCTGGGAGGATTTTCAAGGAGCATCAATAGCACTGAAGGGGATGGAGCTGGATGGGATGGAAAATATGCTCTTAAGAGGGAAACAGGGGAGCTTGGGATTTTGCTAATCACAGAGAAAGGCATCCCGGCTGTCAGGGATTTGGGGACAAGGACTGGGAGCTGCTCCAAAACCCCACAGCCTGGCCCAGGTGGGGCTGGAGCCCAGCAGGAGAAGGATGTTAAATGACCGGGGTGCAAAGGAGCAAGGAGCAGCAGGGATTGCAGATGGGAAGCTGTCAGGAGGGAGCTGAGCGGGCTGGATGTGCTGGGGCTGGATTTCAGCTCCATTTCAGCCTCTCTTCCAGTTATATTTGGGGAACAGAGCAGGGAGTTCTTGCACTGATCCGATCCTCTGCTCAACAAGCCATGGGGTTTCATAGCTGACAAAAACAAAAAGGAAAAGCCAGAGAACGTGAAAGTAAAGACTAGAGGCTGGACAAAGCAGATATGAGTTAAGTAAGGGGGATGAGGCAAGGTAAATACAAGTACAGGCTGTCAGGAGGCAGTTATTTTCTGCACGGAGAATCCAGTTACAAGAGATTCTCCAGTGCTGCTTCCAAGATCCACGTGCTCCCTGTCCTTGCCAAAACCTGAGCAAGGCAAATGGGAGCACTCGTCTCAGTGCTGACCTGATTTTCTTCCTCCTCCTTTCCAGCTCTTGGGTAACATCCTCATCATCGTGCTGGCCGCTCACTTCACCAAGGACTTCACCCCCGCCTGCCAGGCCACTTGGCAGAAGCTGGTCGGCGTGGTGGCCCACGCGCTGGCCCACAAGTACCGCTAGACCCTCTGGTGGGACACATGGCTCTAACAAACAATAAAATGTATGTCCTGAACCACTCCATGATCTCTCTCATCTCTGCAGCTGCTGGTGGGGTGGAGAGCATGGGGCTGGGGCACTGAGGGGGAAAGAGGAGCTCGGGGCTAGTGGGACCATGCTCTACCAACGTCTTGGTGTCATGGGAGGACAAACTAGCACAGGTTCACTAAAGTCAGTTTCAAGAGAGATTTGGCCTTTCACATTTTAGTGTTGCTATCTCCAAGAATTCAGCAAAAAACATCTTCTTGAAGCAGCACTAAAAACATTGCATGGCCTTGATCTGAATAGGACAGCTAAAGGCAATGTGTGTGATCTGGAGGGGAGGGACCAAGGGCATGATTTTTATATAGTACTGATCAGAGCTTTTTTACTCAATTACGTTAATGGTAATAGTTAATTAGGTTTTTCATTGGATTCTGCATATATGCATCAGCTTCAAGACTAGCTTAAAAGCATGGCAGACAGGCATGCCTAAGTCTCGGAATGATGTTCCTGCTGGCGATGCCCAGAACATCCTGAATTGGGAAAAAAGGGGGAAGGGGAGGGAAAAACTACCAAATCAAACTTTTCTGGAACACATCCTTCTCTTTTTGATTAGCAAATAGGCATTTCAGCACGATGCCAGCATGATTTTCAGTGCAAAAGGGCATTTCAAAACATTTGCAGTTACCACCCAACAAGAAAGATCTCCTTTACCGTTTGCCACCTGCTCCAGGCAGAGGTGGATGTAATTTTAACAAAATGGATGATTCTATGGGTGCATTTGGCTGGGTGCAGGTGCAACCCCATGTATGCTGCATGTTTGCCTGTGCATTTACACCTTGGTTCCTAGCCTGGCAAATATTTGTTCACAGAGCTACCACAGACGTCAGCAATATGTTTCAGCCTCATTATCTGTAAATGTCTGCATCATTCTGTTCCTCCTTTTCCATCCTGTGCCATGGTGACATCCCACTGATGGTCATTGCCCTCAGCATGTCCCAAACCAAGATGGTGAGTCCCTGCTTCACCACTAGCTAGGTACATGGTGGATAAGGGATGGTTGGAGGACTGCTTCAATTTTGGTCTCCTCATCTGGGGTCAGAATGAAATTTTCCTATGAGTGAGGTTTGGCAGAGATGCCATTGATGTTCTTTTCCCTTTGGGATCTCAGTCCACTGCTAATCTCTTGCTCAAGCAGTTTCCCCCTGGGATGAGTTTTAGTCACTGGCATTGGCAGGTCTCCAGAGACCTGAGGTGCTTCGATCTAATCTCACCTGCTATGCCAAATATTGGCCCATGTTGCCTGTGTCAGGCAGGAGGTCCCAACAGCTCCCAGTGGTCCCATTTGTCTCTGATGATCTAGGAAAATGATTTCTGTGGAGGCTGAAGGCTACTTGTATGCTTCACATTGCTCAAATGAGGAGGAATTCCTCTTACTTGCTAAAAGAGACTAACTGACCTTATTAAGCACTTAAAGGTATAGACAAGGGATAGGGTGGTATTGTGCATCCTGAAAAAGGTATTCAGTGTGTCAGGCTCTCCAGACAAGAGTTGCCCCTCTCTTGGGTGCAATCATGAACAGCGATAGCCCCATGCGCAGGGGTAGAGGTGAGCACTGGACATTGCACTGGATGAACACAACAGGAGGTCTGGTGTTAAAATGGTGCCACCTCATCCCAGCAGCAGCCCGTCCAAAAAGCTCTTTGCAAAGGGAAGGATTTTGGTGGCCCATGCGTCCTTTGCAGGCAGGGAATGGAGGCAGCATCAGGGAAAATGTCTCTCTCGAAGGCAGAGCACCAGCACCAGAGCAGGCTCATAAGTGCTTTCCTGGGACACCTCACTGTGCAG